ATAAGTGTGTCAGTTCTACTGTATGTGTGATGATACCGTATTCCCGCTTACTTGTTAGCTAGTGCTATGCAGCACACTTGCCGCATCAGGACACAGTGGTTGAATGCTGCAGGAAGGCTTGGGGTCAAAAGCCCTGAACTCAGGTGTGCCGATTCGCATGATTAACTACAGCTGTCAGTGAGGGTGGAAGGTTCTTGTCCCTCCAGTCCTTCAGCATGACAGGCAGACTCCCTGACTCTATGCGACCTGCTTTTGTCCACTGTGTCCCCGTGAGTTGTTCCACTTCCTCCAGACGGCACGGGGACTTGCTGCCATACGGGTCAAACAGGGCTGGCTGTGATGCCGAGCTCTGGGGCTGCACAGTGTGGTGCTGTGGACGGATTAGTCTTGAGTGTTTGAGAGTGTGACAAGATTTTAAGTGCATGGCTGAAATCCACTAGAGGTGAATATTTTTTGTGTAAGGACACTTGCATTTGAGTATTGCCTGTTTATGTAACTCCACATTAGTGTTGGAATTTCAGAACAGTTGATAAAAAATCTGTTATATAATTACATAAAAAATGTGAATATAAATCTTATATAATCAGAGAACATATAATTCTATACTGTGATCAGCAATCAGTGTAATGAGATGCATGTAGATTTATGTATATGGCATGTGTAGATACATATTCTATAATATTTTATGCAAACATCGGTGTAATATATGCACATTTGCATGCGTAAGTAGGCGTTGTCACTTCACTCTGCAATCTGCTGTCCAACAATACACTTTGCCCTCTGCTGTCCCACTGTGTCTTCAAATCTAGAAGAGTTTTTTAAATAAAATGTACATTAATGTAGATGGAGTGTATTTTGATTCCATTTTAATACATTAGCTTTGCCTAAAACAAGCTGACGTATAGTCATTTGAGCAAAGCCAGTGTGCATAATGCTAATGCAGGAGCTGCTTGATACAGTCAGTCATAGTTGTCATGTTGCAGACGCTCATCCACCCTTTTCTCTGACCTGACCATGTGCATAACAGCTTATAGATCAGTACGTGCCCAATTTGCATATTTCCCAGGGTTGTTGTGTTGAATGATAATACATACAGTAGATAATGGGGAGGCTGCAGAGGCAGGGTGTTCTGCACTGACTTGACAGTTTCCCTAAGAATAAAGGTCCCCGTGCTGTAGAATTTAGTCCAACCTGCAAGACGTTTAACTGATTTTCAAGCTTAAAAAACCTCTCTGGAAAAGGTTGCACAAAAACATGTTAAGCATGAAAGATTTTTAAAAAGATAAAATCAACTTGGTAACATTAACCCAGGGAGAGAAAAAGACTATATTGATAACAAGACCACAGCGACCAGCAGGCTGTCATTACTAGGTAGAACTAGATTGGGTGGATGCTATGGCAATCGACATCGCTTGTAGAAGCAGCAGCTCCTTCAAACTTCGCTACACTTTTGTTTTTTATTTGTTTTTTTCTGGCTTTATTGCCAAAACATGTGTTGTTAGGCAATATTTGTTGTTATAATACAGTCATTGGAAGATGAAGATGGAGTTTTTGGATAAAGAGCAGCAGACCACGATCCACCCGGCCCAAACAACCGGACCAGGCACCACGGTGGGTGCTGAAATCCTTCAGAGGAGAGGAAAGAGAGCCAGGAGAGGAGCCATGTTGGCCTAGCTTGGACTTCTGCTCCTAAAGAGCCGGTCTGGATTAAATGGGACTCATGTTGACCAGACAACGGAATTCAAAGACTGTTGTGCCCACATTGTTACAGAGACCTGCCCCATCAACATCCCAAATCAAGCACTCGACAGGTGGTCCAAGTTCGGAACTGTCAGCGCAAGACTCCGGTAAGATGAGAGGAGGTGGACTCTGTGTTTTACATCGATTATGCTTGGTGCTCAAACGCAGTACAGATGGACTTTGTTTCCCAAATGTCAGACTGTTTAGTGTGAAGATGAAACTTTCATATTATCATCTGGTTGCTGCTGTTTACATTCACCCCATGCAAATTCAAATGTGCACTGTGGAATGTTTGTGGTGTATACGTATATTTATATATGTATATAAATATCTGTATATATTAAACTTATATGTTGTGTGTGTAGCACAAAGGAACTACAAATTTTGTTTCGTTATGCAGCCTTGTGCTGTATAATGACTAATAAACAACCTTGTAGATTATATACTGTAAAGTATGGGCTATTTCTGTGTCTTTGCACTGCTTGCACCAAGAGCTTTATTTCATTGTCCTAATGTTTTCAATTCTTGTTGCTACCATCTTCAAGGTAAAATGAATTATGATATAGCTGGAGCAGTTATAAATGAAATATTTATCTTAAGGACCAAATACTGGTCAAATATAACCCTATCACCTTGACTGTACATGGGATTTACACCTGCGCTTGTCCACCCCTATCTCTCTTTTCTTTCTGCCCTGCTCTCTTTCCACTTTACAAAAAAAAAGAAAAAACACTAATACAGCGGCGCCTTAGTGAAAGGCCTTATCAAAGAGCACAAACAGCAGTCAGACTCAAAATACAACACACACACACACAATGCAGCCAGATGAATGGCCCCGCCACCACACAATGGTGCTAAATTAAATCACTGATGACCCTCCCACATCACTCACTCACTCACATGCAAAGATTGACTAATAAGGACTTCTTTGTTTGCCTGCGTAATGTATTCTGGATCAGGTGATATCAGTTGGGGTTGGAAGGTGCATGTGGTCAATTTCTGTTCATTATGCAAATCAGCGCTGCAACAATTGTTCTCCAGCCACCCTGGTATGATTACTGAATTAATAATTTGCTCCCTGGTCCTCTTCATATTTTGTTTGCCCTTTTATTCAACAGCATCTTGATATCCTTGATGCATCCTTTATATGAGCTGTGTCCCAACAAAGGAGTTATATGGAAACACATACGGACAAGGTCATATAATCAGCATTGATTATCCCAATGTGCAGTAACAGGACATAAAAATGCCCTTTTTTGGACTTTCTCCACTTTAGGACAGAGTTGGCATCAGGTGTTGTTAGCAAGAGAGTGCAAACACAGCTATTACTTCCACTGCTGCACCCTTGTCCCTGCTGCTGGCGGCAACCTGTCGAAGATGACCGTGTTAGCAAACAGCCCAAACAGGTGGCAACGTCAGTGTCACTCAAGCATGAGCAGCCTCAGCTGAGCTTGTCAAGGTGGGTAGTTTCATCTGTGACCTTACAAACATACACAGATGTTCAGAGATTCTGAACTCAACTCACTTAAACATAAGCTGTGATAAAGTTGTTTGAGTTGTAGATCTTTATAGCAGGAAGTCCAGGCAGACCACAGTCTGTCAGACGTACTGAATGAGTATCATGAGGGTGACCACTGAGTTGATGGTGTTTATTTGGACACCCTGGACAAGTCACAAGTCAATCACAGGGATGGCACTTAAATAAGCAGACAACCATTTGCACTTCATGGCAATTGAGTGTCACCAAATCTGAGCAAGGCTCGGTACGCCCCAGACAGGTCATCAGTCAATCACAGGGCTGAAACACAGAGACAGACATTGAAACCATTTACAATCACATTCACATCTAAGGACAATTTTCGAGTTACCAATCAACCTCACCTGCATGTCTTTGGATTGTGGGAGGAAGCCCACGGAGGCATGAAGAGAAAACATGCTAAGTCTACATAGCCAGCAGGTTTGAAACCAGTGCTAACCACTGCACAGTTGTGCCGACCCCAAATATTATCACTAGATGGCAAATAATATGAAAGTTCTTGTAGAGAAGAGACAGGATTTTTCAAGTCAGCTGAAGCACTTCTGCAAGATAAATACATCCTCATTTTAAACCGGTTTGGTTGGGAACAGTTTTTAATTTAAAGGATTTATTTCCCAGTACTAGTTGCAAGGCAGAAGAACAAAATAGCAGCATTGTCATCTTGATGGGTTAGATGACTGACACATACAAAACATTGCAAGACATCAAACAAGTGTTATTTCTGCCATTCCACATGATTGCAGCATAGACGGAAGTCTCATAGGGTCTAGACAGTCATGGACCTACTGTAACACCTTGTTGAAAGGACAAACCAAGTCATTAACTGTTGACTTTTTCTGCAGAACCACCTGTCTTGAACGTTGGATGAAAAGAATTTACAGAAATACTGTCCTGAGCACATTGTAGCACAGCGCCAAAGCATGGTTACAAATAAAAACATTATAGCCTTTGCCTTTGATATTTGATGCATTAAGGTCCTGTCAGGGGGAAAATCCAGTGTCACCTGCTAAGCAGACACAGGGGGCTTTCTCAAACCCACCCCTCCTCAGTAGCTCTTCAGTATGAAGGGTTACCACAGCATGAAGTCAAACTTGCAGCTGTGGAGGGTTCTCCATATTAAGAGGGTGGTTAGAAATAACAGGTAAACTGTGGAATTCCTTCATAAGCAGGAAACAACCTTCACAATGGATTGGATACTGATAGAAGCACTGCTTGCTAGGCTGTTTCCCTGCAAATGCAGACTATGATTTGTGTGATGCTTTTGTTTCCCATATTATCACCACAGTTTCTTTTATTTTTTGTCTAAACCCAATTTGAAATATATAGTGTATGAAAAAATTGGCACATTTATGCAGTGTTTCTCCAATTCTCCCGTCCTGCATTGTCTACTTCCACTGTCCGCTATGGTTTGGGATGGCCTTCAATATGGCGAATCTTCCAGGCAAGCACACAAACAGAGGCAGAGGGGAAAGGCCGAGGGTGTAGTGGAAAGATTGGGACTGAGCCCCCGTCTGTCTGCTTGTCGGTCTCCACAGACACTCAACGCTGCAGCATCCCAACATCACCAGCATCACCAGGTGCAGTGGAGCAAAACCTACTATGTGTGCGTGACAGAGAAAGAGAAGGGGGGGGGGGCTGGCAAGGTGGCGGGATTTGTGTTGAAGCCTTTGCTCTGTCAGACATGCGCAAGAGCGTCAGCAGCAGCAGCAGCAGCAGCAGCACCACTGCGCTGCGTTTCCGCCTTGGCTGAGCGGCGCACACAGCCGAGAGGGGAGGGGAGGCAAGCCGAGAAGAAGAGCGGAGCCACCGAGACGCAGTGGGGCACAGCACGGAGCGAATTACACCGACGCACCCTAACATCCCAGCAGTCCGTCTCCAAATCTCCACGTCAAGAAGCGAACCTGTGCGGTGCGCGCCAGAGCTTTTCAGCATGGAGACTGCGCTAAAAAACAAGCACTAAAATGTGAGATTAACAGAGGAAATCAGAAGAGAGAGAGAGAGAGCGTGTGTGTGTTTGTGTGTGAGGGAGAAAGTGACTATCCCCTTTATCTTTTACGGGTGATCTCAATTCTGTGCTCTGTAGTCCGAAAATGAAGAAGTTCAACATCAGGAAGGTGCTGGACGGCTTGAAAGAGGTGTCCTCCTCCACCCCGTCTGTCCAAGTGGGGCCACAGGAGAACCATCTGATCCAGGAGACCATCCAGTCCGACCATTTCCAGCTCTGCAAGGTGGGCGAGCCTGATGATTTTACTACACAGCTGTTTTCATTCCCTTTCGCATGTAGTCCTTTATTTATTCATTTATTTTAATTATTATTATTCACAAGTCACAGTTTGTACTGTGCGCATCCCATCTCAGGACACAGCTGGTGCGACTGCGAGTGAGCCCCACACAATAAATTAATTAATGGGCTAAGCATTTTGCTCCGTTGTCGTCTTCTAAACTATAACGAGCACCTGCTGGCTGAAGGTTTATTTAACATTTGGCAAGAATCTCTTTTAGAAAGAGAATCATAAAAGCGCTCTGTGCTTGTCTAAGGCATGGTAGGTAGCCAATGACATATCTAACTACAATGCGCATACTGTACGGCGAGTGCGCACTAACAAGAGGACAGTACAGATTACTAAATTCCCATATGGCTGCACATATTTGTGTTTAAATTTTGCCAAGAAATTTCTCAAAGCAACTAGTTATTCAGGGTATGGTCACACTGGGTATTATAATGCCATTGTTTGCTGGATGTGTGCTTGGCATGAACTCTCATATTGAGAGATTGGGCCAAACTGATCCCCTCTTGCATAATCTGCTGGGTTTGGATTAGCAAAACCTAGTTTCTGGTTTATGTATGCATATGTGAGCGTGTGTCTTCCCCTTTTGCTGTTGTCCTTTCCTTGCAGTGTCTGTCTATCCCCTTTCTCCCTCTCACAGACACACCTCTCACACTCCTCTCTTAACTGTCTCTCTTGCTCAGCTTCCCTCATGTATGCACACACACACACACACACATACACACACACACTCAAACACATACTATGTTACCCCCAGATCACTGATCCATTGGGGACTGATGGCGCCTCAAGTAAGTGGGGGCCTGTTTGAAAGGAAAATGGTTTTCCCTCCTCTGTCTGAATTGGCCACAACAATGGACAGGATTAATAAACACTCATGCAATTTACAAGCTGCACGTGCGACATGTGTCATATCTTTAAATCAGGATTTCCCCAATTGTGCCGTAATGGTTTGGTGGCCTTTTTCATAGACACCATTGTGCACTCGCTATTGATTCCCCCACATATTTAACGTACACAATTACAGCAACAGTTTGTGGATTATTTTTAAGGTTTCCAACTGTAGAATTACTAATAGGTTTATCAGGTACTTGTAGACTTTAATAGCTCTCTGAAATGCAGGCTTGTGCGATTGTTTTTCTAATTGGACATGGTGCTAAAAAAACAAAACTCTTAGGTCTGGTAGTTACCGCAGTGACATTGCCAGCACCGTGGAAGAGTCATATGATGGTTGTCCTTGGCAGTTTTAGAGACACCAGCAACCAACCGAAAGCCAAACGGCAATGATCTCAATAATAGTAAGAAGTAATCCGCCAGAGTGCCTAAAATAATAGAGACTAGAAAACTAGATAACATTAGCTAGAGTCAAGTCAACACACCCCAGGGCTTAGGGGATATTGTGGTTTAGTGGCTGGAAAGATTACAGGTTTAATTGACACTACAGCCTAAATATGTCTGTCAACAGCCAGACATCTGATTAAAGTCTTTTTGAACTAGGCTCCATCCTCCTTCCTGCACCTTTACTGTCTGTCTGGACAGAAACTCTGTGTAATGTTTCTCTGCAGGGAAGGCAGGTGTCTTTGCTGCACTGAGTGCTTCTTATGTAACGTGCTTTAGCCTTCTGCCGCTAAGCAAACAAATCCAACAGCCCACCACCGGCTGACTTATACCATAAAGCTACAGTTACACACACAGGAATATACCGAGGGTGGACAAAAAAACAGAAACATCTGACAGTGCAATGCTCTCCAATAGAAGGCCCTGCAACAAATCATAACCAAATGCTCCTTATTGATGTGTTTTCCATGTTTTTTATTTTCAGACTTCAGAGTAATCACGACTTCATGTGGGAGGCGGTGAGAGAAGGAAAATGAGATAAAAAGAGAGAAATCTCAAAATAGGCCCATGATTATAAAATGATCCTGAATGGCTAAGCCAAATATCAACGAGGAACAGGGTAACCATGCTAAGAAAGAGAATTTGTTCCTTCCATTTTCTCTTGTCTGCGGAATTTCAGGCTTTACATTTCTGTTTCCTTGTTCCTTTTTCCACACTTTCGGCATCCATCCTGGCTATTTGTTTACCAATATCATGTGTGTGACATCCTTTGACAAAACAACACCCCTGCTGTGAAATGCAAATTGATATAGTCTCTAACACGTTCTCTGTTTTCATTTTTCTGCACATCTCTCAGACTGTCCGTCATGGATTTCCCTATCAGCCGTCGTCCATGGCTTTTGACCCCGTGCAGAAGATACTGGCCATCGGCACCCAGAGTGGGGCTCTCAGATTGTATCCTTTCAGTTGCCATTGAGCTGTTTTAGGTTACCGTGACCTGTCGCAGCTCGTTTTGGTACCTGCATCCTTGGCAGGCAACAGCAGGTAAGTGGACAGATGCCCGAGCTGCCACAGTCAGATGTCGAAGTAGAATGTTTTCGGTAGCATTCATGGATTGCCACTTTGACCTCTGTATGTCCTTATGAGCTTCAGGATCAGAAATTAAATCTTTGATTTGTCTTTACTTTTAAAGTACAAGTCCCGGATGTTGTCACATGGGAAGACCTTGCTTAAACCATAGACCAAGAACAAGCTTGACTCAGTATCTCTTGAATCCCATATTTCGGTTGCTGTTATTGACATTGCCACACTGTTGCACAATTGCTCACACACTTTAAGTCATCAGAAATGTCACTGAAAAGTTCACATTTAGCGGCACAGGCTGAAGTATGTGCTGCAGTTCAGCCGGAGAAGTGAGTGGTTGGTCGGCTTCTTTGCAATATGAGGACGTTTACACAAACGGGGACAACAGCTTGTGCTGAAATGGCACCGTGGGGAGTCGTATAGCTTCAGAGAACGCCCGCGTGCTCGCTTGTGTCAGGCTGCTTTTACAGGTCCTCCATGTGTTCTCCTGCCTGTCCGACAACCCTTTGCCAGCTCATTACGTTGTGATAAAGAGTTTGCCTGGCTGTCCCTCGTTCCCACCTGCTGGCAGCTATGGCTCTGACTCTGTTTCGTTCACCTGTGCTGGAATGGTGAGGATAAAAACATAGACACTCAGGCAGAGGAGGATGGGAATAGAGTCTACAGAGTCATGTTTACCAGATGGAGTCCATTTACCTTTCGTATCTTCTCTGTTCTTCTTAAAAGCAGAATGAGGGAGACAGAAGATATGATCTACCGCTTTTTCTGGAGATGACTGGAATTTCCTAAAGATTTAAAGATAGAAACAGAAACCATGCATTTCTTCCTGCAAACGCAGAGCAAATTCTGTTGGCGGTACACATGTATTAGAAGATAGGCGATGAAATCCCTTCCTTGGTGGAAGTACTATGTTAGGGCTGATGCAGGAACTGGTGAATAAGCTTAATGGGGCTTATGTCTTGCGGGCTGGTACATTACTCTTGTGAGCTCCAGACTGGGTAAACTCGGAGTGAGAAAAAAAGCTGTACTCATGCTGTAAAAGAAGCCTATAACCAATCAGCTTAGAGATGAAAATGTATTTTCCCACAGACGATCCTGAGTTCGGATGAAATGATGTTGTCAGATGGTTCCTACTGGCTGAAACTGGTCACTTTGAAATTGAACAAACAGAGGAATCTCACGTGTGTTTGAGTGATGTGCATCAGATAGAGTCTTATCTCAGTCAGGGGAAGGTGAATTGTGAGTCATCCATCTATTCTTTGGTGCTGCTTCTCTTCCTGTGTCATTTGCTGTTTAGTCAGCCCTGTCTCTTTATCTGATGACAACGATACTACAGTGGCACAGATGAAGGGGGCATAATGGAGATTTCACGATTCATATTTTTCCGTATTTTAGCTAAAGTTTTAGCAGGTGTCATGTTTTGTGGCGTCCTGCGACTCCTGCGCTAATACACATCTATGTCCTGAAGGTAAGTATCTTTCCAGTTAGTGGCAAGTAGTGACTATTGGCGTCAATTCATGTTTGTGTGTGTGTGTATTTGTTTGCCTGGCTGGCCTGCCAGGGCATTTGGCTGCACCTCTCTCCCATGGAGGATTACAGGAAGTGGCAGATCAAGGGCCTCAGCCTGGCAGCGTGGCAGAGGACTGAGAATTACAGCAGGAACAGGGTGTGTGTGTGGCTGTGTACATGCGTGCGAGTGAATACGTGCGCACATGCCTGCGTGTGTGCATGAATCCTCCGAGGAGACGTCTGATCCCTCCAGCCATAAAGCCAATCACTTCTGTGATCCCCCCCAAAACTGTCCCGTGTTTGATGCTCGCCACTGACTCTGCTGCTGCTTCCACTGTCCAGCTGGGAAGATGACAATGTCCCTTTGGTGTTTTCTGGAGGAGGGGACGAGGGGAATAGAGAAAGAGGTTGGTGGCAGGAGAGCCAGCGGAGCGGACAGGCGAGGGAGAGCAGAGAGAGGGAATGGATTGGAAAGAGCAAGAGAGGCAGGCTATCCCCTGCTTCAAGATCTAATGGCCAAGAATAGAATCCTTATTGATCTGTGTGTGGTAATGCACTGAGACAGATATGCCCAAGTGCATGCACACACTGCTATCAGTTGTTTTCTGTACAATATCCCAGCAGCGAAAAGAAGTTGCGAGCATTCGTAAAAACAGGTTTTGCTGTGCAAGCAGTCCGTGCATATTAGCTATCCATCGGGATTAGCAGTGTAGTTATAATAATAAGCATAAATGCTGTGTTGTAAAATGCTGAAAGAAAAAAGCTCGTGCTTGTGTTGAGGCAGTTTGTGATATGAGGTAGGCCTGAAAAAAGTGGAAGGAACATCCCATCTTGGTCTGTATGTCCTTTATTTTCCAAGTTAAAAATGTTGCAATGATGATACTCAGTTTATATAATATGGCTCAAACCAAACACAAGATCTCTTTGGCCATTAGTTTAATGTTGGTACTTGTTAAACAACATCCACAGCAGGTTGTTGACATGGAGCATTTGTATCATAAAGCCAGCGGCAACAGACAAAAAAAGTGGGGCTAATGAGCTGCATCTGTGTATCAGCCACGTAATGTAATATTATGAGCCTTCATCAGACCTAAATATGATGTTAATTGATCTATTCATTCATAGATTCATTGGGTGGTAATGGCTCAATAGCTTTTGAGTACCAACCAAAAGGCATCCGAGAAACTGAGTGTCAAAAACCTAAAAAAACCTCCAAATTTTGGACTGTAATTTCTTGTATGGCTGCTTGCTTAAAACAACAGTAAATACTAATGCACTGGTTGGTCTGACATATTTATTCGTCAAACCACAGTAATGTATCTTATAACAATGGAATTGACAGATTTCCAGCAATACCTGAACTTGTATCCCATGCTTTTAATAACCAATATCTAGTATTTGGACAGAATCTATCTAGGGTGTAAACAAGAGTTGTTCTTTTTTTATAGGAAAAAGTTACCACCCTTTATAATTGAAATGTATACTCTGCTGGTTCAGTTTGTGTGTTAAAGGCAGACATAATGTAGGTGGAAATTGGCACTATGTAGTGGGAGATTCGTTCACTCCCTGACTGAAAACATGGTGCTGGGGCCTTATAGGGTGATTTTGCCAGCTTACTGTCATCAAACTCGAGTCATCTGTGTGTGTGTAGATGTATTTTTGTGTGCGTGTCTGTTTGCTGGGTGGTCTGCAGCTGCATGTGTAACAATGAGGCGGCACACCTCTGCGGAGAGATGGCTCTTTACTGGTGGTGGCCAGGGGAGATGGCAGCACTATAACTCAGAGACTCCCTGTGAGCCAGCAATAGATCAAATTGTCACTCCATGCTCTGCCAGATTATCTCATCGGCAGGCGCAGGACATCATAGGACTCACACATACAAATGGGGGCACAAACACACACAGAGTTATTATTTCAGGATAGACATTCTGAAATGGCAGGAGGAAACACACACACACACAAGCATATGATGGAAGAAGACTTATACAAATGTTAGTGAATGTGCACACACAAATACTGTATGTGTACCGACATACGTAGAAGGGCAAACCTTTGCACATGCAGGGGGACAGTGGTGCACACATGTTTGCAGAGACAACCACACACACACACACACACACACACACACACACACACACACACACACACACACATATATACAAAGCTTTGCAGTAACTGCTGTGACTGGCAGTGGCCCTGTGCAGCTTTTGGTCGTAGCACAGATTGACTATGACATATCTTTGTCATTATCTTCCTTCTGATTCACTCAGTAACTGTGCTATCCTCCAAGCTAAGTCTACAGTCACAGGAGAACCTCACTGAGCCATGAGTCCTCTAACTGGACTACTGAATGGGAAATTAAATAGAAATTGTAGCTCAGCACAAGATGTTGGAATTTCATTGACATAGTACATACAGATGAAAGTGTTCAATTGGAGCTTACAATCTCTAGAGAGCTTTACAGTGTGTGCATGCATATTTCTCTTTGTGAGCCAAGTTTGATGGGAGTTTCTAATGTGATATATGCTCTTAAATTAATTCAAAGATGCCACTAATGCCATTCACAACACACTGGCTGTATATAATTTACATGTCTGTGTTGATGGTAATTGATTTTGATTGTAATGAGTGATTACGGTGACTCACTGGCTCCTTCTTTTTGTATGTCTTCAGCATCTTCAGAGACCGAGGAAATGTAAATGGTGAAAAAAGTGCATGCGATCGCGCTATCTTTCCAGTCTGTTGCGTAAAGAGTGTGGGAGACTCTTTTCAGGTCACAGATCATTTGTTTATTCTTTTTATCTGTTTTGGTGCATCTCATTTCTCTTCCCCCTTTTTGCTTTCTCCTCACTGGGGTTGCCAGTTGCAAGTTGACTCTTCTAGATGGCTCTCCACAGTGCAGACCGAGCCTGGGGTTATGTGTTTGTGTTCAGTTATGCAATGTGCTGGAGCTTGGCGCAGCAAAGTCGAGGCTGACTGAGACAGCAATAGTATAATCAAAGGAGTTAAGCTGCTGCTGCCGCCACTGTGTTCTATATAGTATGTTTTATGTTTGAGTGACGGAAAACTTTTAACTATATAAAACTTGCAATGCTGCGTCTGTGCTCTTGTGGTGATATCTAGGAATATTCCTTAGTGTGTCAATCCTGTGTCAGTGGTTGGTGGGTTACCTACCAGTAGCATATGGCAGATGAACGGCTGGGAAAGAGGAGAGGTATCGCACAAAATCGAGAGGGATTAGTGTCTCATCCCACTTGACCTCATTTTACTTTTCGCACAAGTGGGATAAGGATTGGGGAAGAGAAAAAAGAGAGAAGAGTTTGAAATTAAGTCATCTCATTGCATCTGATGTGAGAGTTTAA